CCCCCCCCCCCCCCCCCCCCCCCCCCAGATCCAGAAGAGGAGACTAGGGGTGAGGAGAAGGGTGTCGGCTGCGGTCCCAGAGTTCGTTCCAGTGTCCGCTCCAGATTCCCCACCAAGCCTAGGAAGGGCTCCCAATCCCTAGTTCCGCCCAGGAAGGGCTCCCCATCCGCAGTTCCGCCCAGGAAGGGCTCCCGATCCCCAGTTCCACCCAGGCAGGGCTCCCGATCCCCAGTTCCACCCAGGCAGGGCTCCCGATCCCCAGTTCCGCCCAGGCAGGGCTCCAGTCTCCGGTCCTGGCCCACGGAGGGCCTCGGAACCTGTAAACAGCCCCAAATATTTTGGGGGGGGGGTAATAGGGCTCTAGCCGTAGAGGCCGAGGCGGGGGCTAAGGCCGCGGCCTCAAAGGCTGCTTCGCCATGACCTCCTGAACTGCCTGCACCACCATGTCCTCCTGAAGTCCCCACTCCGCCATGGCCTCCTGTGTTCCCTACCCCGCCATGGCCTCCTGTGTTCCCTACCCCGCCTTGGCGCCCAGAGCTGACAGATCCACCATGGTGCTCTGCTCTGGAGGCCTCCCGTCTGGTAACCCTACTCCTAGAGGTCTCCAGAGCGCCCACCCCCCCCTCCCCATTGGATGTTTTGGTGGCGTGAGGACACGCCTTCTGGGAGGGGGGAGTAATGTCAGACTCTGGGCCAGGTTTTGTGTGTGTCTTTGCTCCCTATGTGCTCCGTCATCCAGTTTCTGTCTCGTGTTTTGAATTAATTGTTCCCAGGTGTTTCCTATGTTGATTGTCTTATGAGTTCCAGGTGTCCCTTGTCTTCCCCTCATCAGTTCCTGTGTATTTAAAGTGTGTTCTAGTTCTTGTCCTTTGTCAGTCGTTAAACGTCATCCTGATGTGTCGAATCCTGGTATCCCAAGCCTTTGTTCAATAAACCTTTTTGAGTTACTTTACTCCGTGTCTCCTCGCTCCTTCGTTCCTCGTGTGTGTGTGTGTGTGACGCGTGACAGTTGGAACATGCCACTGTATTACTTGGCCTAATTATTAACATATTAGCCTACCTTAACATGTCAGGAGCTACTTCAAGTAAGCTAAATATATTAGGTGAAAGGGGTTCGGCTGACAAAAAATGTTCGGGAATCCCTGCAAGCCATAGCCTACATGTAGCTTACATAAGAAATAATGTGAATTTGTACATTTTAATGTGTTATAAAGACAAGCCTTAAGACACATGGTTACCGAGTGCTATTTCAAATATAAAAAAATGTGTTCATAGTTGATGCAATGTTAAAAATTCAAATGATTCTTCTAAATCATAATCCTTGATCAGACTGACAGCACAGCTGATTCGGTGGTTCCCTAGCAACATAAAAAAAAAACCGCTGAGCACTGCTCTTTTATAAATTAAAACAAGTCAACCAATAAAAATAATAATAATAATCGGTGCGCCTCGCGTTTTCAAACAAACTCGATTAATCTGACAGCCTAACAGAGACTGCGATTATATGAATTAAGTTACTTCTGTTTAATGTTTAATTTTTACTTCTAATGTCTGTTAAACGAGTTTAAATATAGGCAATATGTGTATGACCTACGTATTTAAAAACAATATAAAATATGCTATGCTGTAGCCTGTAGGCCTAAATGATATAAAGTAAAATCGCAAACCAGTGGTTGTGTAGTAGCCTATTTTTTTTTTTTTACAAAAGTTTAGAGGATTTAAGTTAATCTGTAAACATTACTTCATGTAGCCTACGCATGAAGTAAAAAATAAGATAGTAGGCTATTATAGTAAAAATTAATCAACCCAATTATGCTGGATTAGCTAAATAAACAACCCATCGGGTAAAAATTAGGCCTACCCAAAATGTGTTCTGTCCTATATTTACCCAGGGTTAAAAAATAACTGAAATTGGGTAGTTTTTGATCCAGTAGGCAAATTTGTTATTATTATTATTTTTTTTAGAATTTTGTGGAGCATAATTTCTGAGATGCGTAGTTTAGCTTTGGTTGTTTGGAAAATAGTTTTATTAACGGAGCAAAATTAGACAAAGTAACTGGGAAAATGTTTAATAATTAATAATTATTACGACCATCATGGGAATGTAAATAATAACAACATTACTCCACGTACTTCTTCAACCGACCACTAGATGGTAGCAGTAGTAACAGTAAAACTCCCCTGCAGTCGTTCATCGTGCCTTCTTCAGCTTTCAAGTGCCACAACTCCTCCTCATTCAAATAACAGGCATACATTTGAAATTCAAACCATGTTGCTTGTCTCACATCTCATTGATTTTACTGGAAGATGTTTTGAATCGAACTGTTGGTGATCGTGGAAAGGAGGCGTGGACTTACCTGACAGGAACAGCTGCCTGGAACACACTTTGTTGACACCTTAGCATTTGAAATCCAAGTTTCCATGTGTATAATGTAAATCTAATGTAATGTAATGTAAAATCTGTGTTCAGAAGGGGAGGGGGCGAAATGTCAGACTTTTGGACCTGTTTTGCCCCTGTAGTACTTCCTGTGTTTCCTTATTTGGTCATGTTCCTGTCCTCGTTGAGTTTGATTATGTTCCATTGATGTCACCTGTGTTCCCCTGATTACCCTGTTTAAAAGTCCTAGTCTGTTCAGTTTGTGTTTGACAGGTCTACTTGTTTCTATGTGTGTTTGCCCAGCGCCTATTGTGGATTATCCCGTGTTTTCGTCATTAAAGACTATGAATGCTACTCTGTGTCTCCTACATTCTTCCAGCAGCAGCCTAACGTGATTTATTGACTTTTAATGCACCTTATTTCCAAACGTACAGAAATATGTGCTTTCATGTGCACTTTAGTTTCTCTAAAGGCTCTAGTTTTGTATTTATTCCAGTTTTTATATGAAAAGGTTCATGTAGCATGTTTGGCTTAGTGTTATGTTAGAATCATTATTATACTCTTATACCTTTTTGTTCTTTAATATTTTGAATTGTTTTTTGCTTTATTTTTTGTTTTTCATTTAAATGTGAAGTTTGAAATTTTGTTTTGTATGCATTTGTCATTTTTATTTTTATTTTAATTTTTTAAATGTGTATAAGTAGTATTTATAAAGTTTTAGATTTGGATCTGTTTTGAGTTGTTTTAATACTACAATTGATTGCTTCTGTTGTCCTCATTTGTAAGTCGCTTTGGATAAAGGCGTCTAATAAATGACTAAATAAATAAAATAAATAAATGTAACGTGGATTAAAATCCATCCACGGAGTAATTCCTTTTCACTGAACATGTTTCTAAAAATAAGTTTGAACAAGTTGTCGGAAGCATGTTGGTGGTGACGTTGAAAGCGATCGACCGTGGTGTAGTTTCTTTATAGCCTAAGTTTAGCTTTTTAGTTCTGGAGCTTTTATTTAGGCATCAAAATTCATTAAAGTTATATTATTTTGTGAAGACTATCTTGATGGACAAAACGTGTAAATATCATGAACTATTGTTGAACACAGAGCTTATTTTTACGATAATCCAAAACCTATGGAAAAATCAGTAACACTTTATTTTAAGGCGTCCTTGTTGCATGTTACATGTACTTACTATTATAATAACAATTAATTATGCACAATTACATGCAAGTAACTCTAAGCCAAATCCTAACACTAACCCTATAGTAAGTATATGTAGTTAATTGATATTACTCCGTACTTAAATGT